CTCTTCGCTGTCTTCCTTTCAGTGCAGCACAACCTCCGCATCCCTGTGTCCGGCTGTGTTCTCTGTGAGGGCCTCTTGAGCAGGCTCCCCAGAGAGGAATCATGAGAGTCGCCACGCTGTCACTCTTACAAACATTCTGACAGGGGACGACACACACTGCTTGCTCTAGACTTGAGGCCACTCAGAACCGAACTTCATCCACTTGTTCCGTGACGTTTCCATTATCTCTAGTGCCTACGCCCACAGTTACTACACAGCACTTGCTTTGTGCTTATCCTGAGGATTCCCAAGCAGGAAGGGTACCTTACTCATCCCTGGCTGTTGCCATCCTCTGGCTTCTGCCTCTTAGATTCACTCACATGGGCTGTCACAGAGAGTCACACACAGCACACACAGGACATTTAAAAGAAGACAATGCATTGTCTCACAGACCCAGAGATCAGAAGTCTGAAAGGAAGATGTGAGTCTCTGGGCTTGATCTCCCAATGTTGGGTTCTTCTGAGTCCTGCCCTCCCCCCTGGGTTATAGATGGCCATCCTCTCCTATGGTGTAAATCTTCCATGATTCTGCAAGGCCCGTGTGTTGAAGAACTGACCTTAAGGTTGGCACTCTCTGGTGGTGGACTCTCTAGGAGGTGTGTATGTGTGTGTGAATGTGTGTAAGGCTGGGGAAGTATCCGGTAAAGCGATTGCAGTGTAATCATAGCACTACGAGTCTGACGGTCAGCATCCACGTGAAAAGCTGGCAACTGTAGTGTAAACTTGAGATCAAAGATCTGGGGAGGTGGAAACAGGAGGACCCTCGGGGCCATGAATCTGTAAGTCCCAGGTCCCAGTCAGAGACCCTGTCTCAAAAACCAGCAAACAAGATGGGCGACTCCTGAGGAAAGACGTCTAAGGTTAACCTCTGACCTCCACAGCTACACCCAACAAAAAAAAAGAAAAAAAAAAAAAAAAAAAAAAAAAGAACGCCTACAGACACATAAAATGCAGAGAGAGAGAGAGAGAGAGAGAGAGAGAGAGAGAGAGAGAGAGAGAGAGAGAGAGAGAGAAGAGGAGAGGAGAGAGGAGAAAGAGAGAAAGACAGACAGACCTAGAGGGAGGCTTTAGACTCTGGCTGTGTGTCCTTAAGTGGTGTTGTGGGACCTTGTACCCTCCTCCTTTTTTCCTTTCCTATCCAGCTACCAAGTAACCATGTTTCTTCTGCTCCGTGTCCACACCATTGTGATCTGCCCCACCATAGGCCCCAAAGCAACAGGACCAACCAATATGATAAGCTGAACTCTCCAACACTGTGATCCAAAACAAACCTTTTGGTTTCCTAGGTGAATTATCCCAGATATTTGTCATGATAAAGAAAGCTAACTGCACTTCTTTTTCTGAGAAGGGGCAGAATGACACGTGGACTTTCTGTTTATGCCGTCACCTCCTCTTCTTGTAAGGTCACCAATTACACTGGATTAAGGCCCATTGCTGACCCACAATGGTGGTTGTGTTTATTAACTCTTTTATTAAGATATAATTCATACTCTATAAAATTTGACTTTTTCAAGTTTACCACTGAGTGCCTTGTTATAGTTACAAACCTTCATCCCCATCGCTGCTAATTTGGAAATGCATTTATATGCCACCAAGTAGCACCATAGAGGCTAGCGTCGCTCACCTGCCTCCCCTTGGCTGATTATTTGGCAATTACTCATATGCTACCATCTCTGTAAATTCACTTATATGGATATTTAACGTGTGCAAGGTTGCACACTAGGAAGCCTTTTATGCTGGCTTCTTTCACATTTGCACAGGGCATTCAAGTGCATTCATGTGGTCAGTGCATGCTTTATGGCTAGATCATGTCCCACTGTGTACCTACACACTACATTTGTTCATCTGTTCGCCATTGGGTGGACATGCAGGCTGTGCTTTCATGTTTTTATACCATGAGCAATGTTGCTTCTGAATAGCCACATGTAAGCTTCTGTGTACACAAGTCTTCAAGTCTCAGGTTTTACATCTGTGGTTCGTGTGTGTGTGTGTGTGTGTGTGTGTGTATGAGTATGTGCATGTGTGTATAGGCATCCAACTCCACTATTTTTAAGGACTTATTTTTATGTGCATGATTATGTACCTGAATATATGTATATGTGTCATATGAGTTCAGGTGTCCACAGAGGTCAGAAGGTAGCACTAGGTCCCCTGGAGTTACCAGAAGTTGTAAATTGCCATGTGAGTGCTGAGAATTGAACCTAGGTCTTTACTTGAGCAGCAAGTGCTCCTAACCACTAAAGCCATCTCTTCAGCCCCTCCACGCCAATGTCTGTCTGCAGATACCCAGCTGTGTCTGGTTTCAATTGCTGGAGAGATTAACTTTCCCCCCATTGAATTATTTTTGCTGGATGCCCATATCAGAAAAACAATTGATCACAAATATATACATTTACCTCCACTTATGGTATCATCTTTTATATTTTTGGCAGCAAGACTGGGGTTTAGTAGGAAAGGGTTTAATATAGATGTAAGCAAGACATCATGAGAAAGGGAGAGACATAAGTGCACATTCCTGGAATGGGTGTGGACTCAAGAGGCTGCCTTTCATGTCCACTACATATTTATTGAGAGAAATATGATTGTTCTTTCAATACTAATTACTGCCAGATGTAATAATTTTTTAACTATCTTGAGTCAAGAGATAACCCGAACTTAGTCAAGGTGAATTATACCTTTTATACTTTGTTAAATTTGATGGTCATGTGTGCGTAGGAGATTAATTCATCATTTGATTTTTAATGCCATCCTTTCCAGCCTTTGTCATCGGCTTTATGTAGGTTTTGGGGACATGAGTTCTATTTTTCCCCTATGGTTTGGAGAAATAAAGAGTTTGAAGTGATTTATCATTTCGAATGTTTGTGGCCCCTTTAAAACACACTCTGGTACAAGTCCTACATGGAGGCCCCAGGAGGTCCCAGATCTCTGCAGGGGCCGGTCACTGTGCACAGCATCGTTTCATCCTCTCTCCCATCCACATCACCTGCTATCCTTTATTTGTCCTACATCCCCTTCATCTCTTCTCTGTTATCCGGCTGCTTCTATTTAATCTAACACAAGCTGTGAGGATGAACACCTTCATTTGTGTCCCCATCCAAGCTAAAGTCTCAGTGTCATGGTTACAGGAAGGTTTGGAGTCAAGCTGCTGGAAGAGAGACCTTACCCCTCCATGCATATCCATATAACCTTGATGAAGCCTTGGGTCCCTCACCAACACAAAGAGATGAGGCTGCAAGCTACATTTTGTGGGGGTGTAGGGAATGCATATGATTTAATATGAATACAGCAATTTAAACAATATAAAGCCTTCAGACTGTCAGGGGTAAACACATGTAAACATCTCTTTCAAAGGTTGAAGCTCTAGACTTGAACCACTTGCCATTAGCACTGAGAATTCATATGCCCCAACCGATCACTATGGCAGACCTATGTCCATGTGGAGATCATGCTCACACACAGACACAGTCACATAAGGCAAATGTGCGTGCTCACAACATGGTCACACACATGTTCACACATGTCTTCACAGACATACTCCAATCTTCCACCAAAGTCTCCCATATCAGCCAGCAGACTCTTTCCTGCTATCAGCTGGAGACTCCACCTGGGTGAGCCTTTTCCTTCATCTCCAAGTCCTTCACACTTGATTCCCCAAATAGGTTTCGAATGAACTCACTCCTCTTGCCATCCAAATCACCACCTTTCTGGGCCTAGACACCTGCACCAGATTACAAATCTTCCAACCTCCCTCTTTCTCCTTTTGCTACTTCTCCCAATCTCACACTCTACATTGTACCTTTAGACGTGTGGGCCTGATCCTGTTCACCTGCTTTCTTAAACAAGCACATGAAATGAGGAATGAGCTATGGTGACGTGAAGGATAAAATTCCAGAGCAGGACAGCACGTCAGCCGGGAGACAGAGGAAGAACTGCATCTCTCTTGAGTATGTGTGCCAGAGCTCTGAGGTTTGACATCTTAGTTTAAGCAAGGTCAGTGTGGCTAGAACATAGCAAGCAAAAGCGGCTAATGCTAAGGCAGATGGAAAGTGCCCCGGGTGAGCTCTGCAGGGGCCAGCAGGTCAAGGAAAAGCCCTTTTGCTATTATTTTGAATCAGTTCATCCTCATCCCCCAAACAGCACCTACACCTGTTTTCATCCCTTTTCTCCTCTTCTCGCTCCTGGGCCTGGTCAGTCTCTGCCATGTGGTCAGTGTTGTCTTCACTGAAGGGGATGCAGAGCAATCCCTCCAGTCCTGCAGCTGGGTCAAGTGGCTGGCACTTCTCTGGATGCACTGAAGCATTCTCTCAGCCAAGGTCCTCATTGTACCTAGCTCATGGGTTCTTACCTCTGTGGCACAGTTACTACATGGGTATGTTTGGTTGTCACAGGAAAGAAAATGCCTGGCCTCCACAAAGAATCATTTAGCTCATAGTGTTGACAACGCTGTCTTTGTGAAAACTACATGGTATTCTGCCTGGCTTGTGTTGTATGGAGAACCTTCTGATCAGACCACTTGTCCTAGGGCCCCTCCTCTTGGGTCCTTGGACATTCTTGTTGAGATTAACCCTATGCTTTGCAATTGACTTTGTCATGGGTAGCATGGAGCTTGCAAACAGGTTGAGCATCCCCAGCCCTAGAAACCAAAATCCAACTGTTGAACTGATCCCCAGTCTGAAACTTCCTGAGCACTGACATAATGTCACAAGTGGAAAACATCACACTTGACCTCGTGATTGAGCCCAGTGACAGACAAGGGCAGGACAGATGCTAATCAGACCCCTTCTGGATACATGTTACGGTGTTTATGAGAAAGATTTTGTTTACACTTGGGTCCCATTCTCAAGACATTTCACTAAGCAAATGCAAATAGTCGCACTTCTGGGAGGGAGGGAAATATTTCTGATAAGCGTTACTCAACCAGGTAGCATGGTTCACTCAGACACTTGGAACCACCTTGTCTTATTCAAGTTTAATCCCAACAACATAAGACATAGAATTAGGGCATATGACAGATTCCTAACAATGAAAAAAAAAATAGGGCCGAAGCTTCATTTACAGTTGGCTCCCCTGTGAGTCACGTGTGCTTGAGCAGCAAATGCGAACTGCGTTGGATCCGGCAGCAAAAAATGGAAACCCCTGTGGCCATCTCCTTGCATGTTTCTTATTTTGCATCCACCGTCAGGAATTCTTGAAGCCCTCTTCTTTGGATTCTGGTTTGGAAATGGACTCTGGTGGAAATGCTGCACCTTTAGGAAAGGCTCCTACCCCTCCCACCTTGTTGCTACACATGCCACATAGATAGCTTCCCCCCCACCACCACCACCACCACCACCTTGGTCCTCTCCCCCTGCTCTGGTGGCTCTGGTCCTGCTGGCTGGTAAAGGAGCAGCAGCCCATGATGCTGGAGGGAGGGTGGGCACCTCACCTCCAATCTCTACTTCCCCTGTGGATGCTGCTTCTGCTGTTTCTGCTGCTGTGGCTGCTCCTGTGGTTTCTGCTGCTGTGCCTGCTCCTGTGGCTTCTGCTGCTGTGGTGGCTGCTGCGGCTGTTGCTCTTGCTGTGGGTGCTGCTGCTGCTGCTGCTGCTGCTGCTGTTGCTGCTGTGGCTGCTGAGGAAGATCCTTGGTGCAGGGCTTGGAACATTCACTACTGTCAGAAGGGCTCTGCTCCTCCTCTACAGGCTGTGGGTCCTGCCTTTGATCCCGGGCCCGCTTCCTTTCCAACATCTCCTCAAAGAATATCTGGCAGCTGAAGCCATCACGGATGCCATGCTGGGCGTGGTCCAGCAGCGCCTCCAACGTGGGGAAGACTCTACAGCAGGCCACACAGCGAAGGCCATGGTTGGTGGTGACCAACCAGTCTGGCGGTGCTCGCAACTCCTGCAAGCAGCAGTCCACAGAGTCCTCAGGCTCCGGGCAGTAGTGCGTGCAGGCTTCCAGCTCCCAGCGCAGGTCTGTGTTGGAGGCCATTTCGAAGGAGGAACCTTTCTGCCGCTGTCGCTTGATGAACTCAGCCTCACGGATAAGGGGCTTCCTAGTGATGGGCTCAAAGCCATCGTCAGTCTCCCAAGCCACTGCCACACCGCGCACGGTCTGCACATACGTGTACAGCGCACACACGCTCTCGGGTGGGGCATCCTGTTCCTCCTCGCTCCTGCTGGAAGCCCAGGACAGGTACTGAGAATAAGACTGGTACTCTGAGGACGACTGGGATGATGGAGAGCTGCTCCAGCCCAGCATCCTGTGTGTCCGGGATGCCAAGTAGATGTCGTCCTCTGGGAGGAAGGCAGGCCCTGGTCTCGGAGATGATTCGTTCCTCCTCATGGTCCCTGAGAAATGGAACGGCAGTTTCATCACTGCTCACAAAGGTCACCATAGGTAACTTTCCCGAGAAGCCACAAATAGAATCATGCAGGCTCTGGTGGCTTTGGGAAAGGTGCCTACTATTCATCAGAGATGACCATAATGCTACCTCATTGGGAGATAACGATAAAAGAGTGTGTGAATCTTATCAACTGATGTGTAAAAGGCCAGCACCCAGGAGACCAAAAAAGTAGATTGTGGTACAACCACAGGATGCGATTGTATTCATGGATAAAATAAATGAACAAGAGATAATGCAACTGCTAAATGGGAAAAGCCACCACACGAGTCCACTTAGGGACAGAATAATTATTACCAAGAGCTGAAGGGGTGAACAAGACATACAGGTGCCTTCGGGCACGTCTGAGATCATGGTTACATTGTGTGCTTTGGTTGCAGCTGCCACTCAGATGGACAGCGTCACAGTTCTTTCTACTGTACACATCGTGTATGCAGCACCAGCTCAATAAAACTCGCTTGAGAATCAAGAATAGAGCTAGTGGTGAAGCCCCAGCTTCTCCTCTGTGACTTCTCTCTGCCTCATTCAGGGGGCCTTTCATCCACTCTGTGGACACATACACATCATGTCCCTTTCACCATCCAAGTGAACGCCCTGCCTTGAGTCCTTTAAGATTTAAAACAGGGCTACGGAGTCTATTTGGAGTTTTATCCAGCAGATAAGGAAACTGAGGCAAAGAGGATGTATGTGCCTGGCGAGTCTCTTGACTCCAAGAGCAGATCTTATCCTAAAATGCTGCCCAAAGACACATCCTGGTGGCCACTGAGTTGGCGTTCTAGATTGGCTTACTATAAAGGAATGTTTATATTACTACAGGATTGACATATTTTTTTCAAACACATTGAAATGAATATATGAAGGAGAACAGTTACATTCTCATCTACACATCTCCTGAAATAACTCCTTAGATGCATAGCAGCCTAGGAAGAACCAGCTTTCTCCCAATGATCTCTTTCTTCACCGCTCTTCCCCCATCTACTTTGTAAGATCAACACGACTCTTTGATAACATCAGAGACCAACCTGCCCCTTCCCCATCTACTGAGCACCTGGCCAGCATACGCCCGTGTTCTCCTTTGTGGACTCTGGGCTGGCCATGCCGATTGTGGTCCCACTGGTTGGTGTCTGTTCTCCCCTGCGTTCCATAAGATGGTGTTTCATGACTTCAAACCAGCACCCAGAATCTCAGTGAGAGCTGGGGTGGGCTGTGCTGAAGCCCTCCAACCAGCCCCAGCCTGAGTGACCACATGATCACTAGGATCCTGGCTTTATTCTGTGATGTCATCAGTGACACGGGTCTGTTCTGTGACCTTTGACAAGGGTACAGTCCTTCGTTGTCAGGTTACCAGGAAAGGGCCCCAGTGTGAGCTCATGTCCCTCTGTGATCGCTGTCTGGGGTGTTCTCAGGAACACAACTACAAACACAGGCACGTTCTCTCAAGCCTGTGTACAAACATAAAGACTCAAGTCCAGGGATTGGGGAGGTGGCTCGGAGGTTAATAGCACTGATTATACTTTGAGAGCACACAGATTTCATTCCCAGCAATCACATGACACTATCTGTAATTCCAGCCCCAGGAAATCTGATGTCTTCTTCTGGCCTCTGCGGGTACGGCACCCATAAAGTGCAGAGATATGTTCAGTCAAAATATCTATAAACATCATATGAAAAGAAGAATTCAGACAAGCACTTAGGTTCTTACACACATAAATGTGAACATCCACACAGACAAGGTACGTTATATATATAAGTTTACAGCATCCACACTGACGGACATACTCAGCGTGTGAGGACCATACTCTGAGCCACACACACACACACATCCACACACATGATCGCACACTATATGAACCGAATCATAGATATGCTCACGAATGGACAGCCACCCCCTAACATCAACATGGCCTAACCACACTAAGGAAGCAGTTTGTCAGAAGGCTTGTCTCTATAGCGCGCACCTGGCCAGTGTGTGCGCTCCCTAGCACCCCCTAGCTCCCTAGTAGTTCTACTCTGTCCCTTTCTGTGCCCCTTGCCCGCTTCCTGCAGCTTCACCTCCTCTTGGCTGCCCACACATCCTGGAACCTCTTCCTCTGGGCTCAGGGCTCTTGACCTTGTCACTCCAGTCTGTCCCAGGCCCTACGATCTTTGTTTTTCTTGATGACATTACACACACACACACACACACACACACACACACACACACACAATTATCTTTGCTGTTTGTTTTTGGAGATAGGATCTCCCTATGTAGCTGAAGTCAACCTTGAACCAACCCATGCTGGCCTCAAACTACCCATTCCTCCATCTTGGCGTCCTGAGTGTGTGGGGGGGGTGGGGGGTTAGTTACCACAACAGATCCAATCTCTCTTCAAATGCAGACTCTGAGAGGTCCTTCATCTTTCTCATATGGCTCGTACTTAAGCAACATTCAACACATTAACACGTGCTGTAGAAGTACTTACCAAACTGGTAAGTAAATAATGAAGACACTGGGCTAAGCTAAGACCTACCTCCTACAGCTGCCTGCTCTCAGCATCCCCAAAGCTCTGAAGCTCCCTGACATAAAAACTTAGAGAATCACCTTTTCTTCCAGCACATCCCTGCTCCGCTTACACTTCCGGCAGCACACCCACCTGTTGCTCACTCTCACCAGCTTTAGTCCTTTGAATTCTAAATTCCCAGCGGTTATAAAAGGTGATGGATTTATGAGACCATCCCCGGCACATTCAGCATCCTCTGGCAAACTGCTATTGAGCCAGGAAGTCACACCTGCAGCAAGTTCACAGTTGGCAGAGGAAACGACCAGCCCTTTCTTTCTGTATGAACACAAAGGCATGCCTTATAAGAAACAAAGGCACTAGCAAACATTTGGGTCGATGGGCAGAGGAAACTTAGAACATTTAAGCGATAATGCAAATAAACAACTGGTGGGAAAGAAGGTTCAGCCAGTAAATGATCCTAAAAATTTGTATTCGGTACGTAAAAAGATGAGCTTAGGTCTCTCCTCATGTGAAACAGCTACAATATTCTACAGACAGCTCAGAGGTGTAAGCAGAGAAAAATAGTTTCTGTGTGATTTTAGGGAGCTTTACTAAGTGGAATCTGTTCACGCAAGCACCATGTGTCTTTTTTTTATTTTAGATTTTTATTACAACTTGCTTATCTATTTTCTGTTGCAAGTGGGGAGCAGGGAAAGGGGTACGCATGTGTCATGGTATGTGTGTGGAAGTCAGAAGACAGCTTACAGAAATCAGTTCTCTCCTTCTACCTAGTGGGCCGCAGGGATTGAAAGCACAGGTTGTGAGGCTTGGCAGCAGTTGTCTTCATCCCCTGAACCATCTGCATGGACCCTTTAAGGGTCTCTGTCATCACTTAGTGGTTAACCAATATCTTACTGTTTACAGTGGTTGGTGGTATCTAACTAGAGTCCCAGCATTTGAGAGAGTCAGGAAAATCAGAATTTGAAGACTAGCCTGGGATCTTACCTCAAAAAATAAAAAATAAAACAAAATTTCAATTTGTAGTTGCTTTTCTCTATGTCTTAGTGAAATGAAACAAAGCGTAAAGGACATTAATAGGCATTTCCCCCAGAATTAAATAGAAAGTTAAGAGATGAGTGAGCAGCCATTCCACGTAGCTGTCATTAGCTGCTTCAAAGCTTGCTTGACTACTGCATCAGTTCCTGATGGTAAGAGGCAAAGTGAGGAAGACTGACAATAATGAGTGCTGGTGAAGATGAGGGGGCAGCCACACCCCCGTTAGCATAGAAACTTAGCATTTCACAAAGAAGTTCCGCTTCACCCATCACAGCACTCTGTGGGTGTCAGTGGGCACGCTCCACTCTGTACATGCTTCCCCCGTATCAGTGGGCATGCTCCACACTGTACACACTACCATCATATCAGTGGGCATGATCCACACTGTGAACGCTACCCTCGTATCAGTGGGCACACTCCACACTGTACATGCTACCCTTGTATTGGTGGGCACGGTCCACACTTGTACATGCTACCATCATGTCAGTGGGCATGCTCCACGCTGTACATGCTATCCTCATATGAGTGGGCGTGTTCCACAATGTACACACACTACCCTCATATGAGTGGGCATGTTCCACAGTGTACACACTACCATCATGTCAGTGGGCGTGCTCCACGCTGTACAGGCTAACATCATCTCTTTCCTAGGAAGGAACCACAACTGCATTATGTAAAACGACATAGAGAAATACTGACTTCAGCTTTGGCTAGTGATACAGAAAAAAAAAAAAAACAGGAAACATTCCGAAAGCCACCAAAAGAGAGAAATGGTCAGATAAATCACAGTGCAACCAGGCTATGTAATACCATTCCCTAACGAGAGCTTCACTTCCTAGCAATTAAATGTAGTGATGATCTCATTCGTGTAAAAACTAAGTGTGTGCCCTTCTCCACAAAAGTCCCAAGTAGGATTCTGCTCTGAACATATATAAAAGCACAAAGAGGACTCAAAAACAGCATACCCGAGTGTGAACAGCCCACTTCAGAAAAGAATAAGAAGTTGGACTGGAACTTGGGAGACTGACTTTCCCACAGACAGCGGACTAGTGAATTTTCTGTTGGTATGGTAAAATATCACGATCAGAAGCACGGCCTTGGGGAAGGAAGGCTTTGTTTTGGTGTATCTATAGTTCCAGGGGCTGAGAGCCCACAGGAGTCGAAGGCATGACCGCATGTACAGCTCGGGAAGCAGAGAGAAAGAACAGGAAACAGATCAAGGACCTACGGGTCCCAGGCCTACCCTTTTCCTCCAGCAAGTCTCAACCTCTACGCTGGCTAGTTTTCTGACAACTTGGCAAAAGCCTGGTCTGTAAACAGGTCTGAGGAACCTAGGGATAGATGTGGGAGGAGCTCAGCCCACAGAGGGCAGTGCTACCCCTGCACCTGTGGTCCTGAGCTGTGTAAGAAAGCAAGCGGATCAAGTCATGAGGAGCAAACCAGTAAGCATTGCTCCTGCCTGGTCTGTACCTCAGCTCCTGCCTCCAGGCTCCTGCCTGGAGTTCCTGCCCCGAAGTACCTTCATGA